GGGGGGGGGGGGGGGGGGGGGGTGATTTGTCAGGCCTCATGGTAAGGCAGGGCTTTGACTTTGTTGTGAGCTGGAGGGGAGGCCCTGGAGGGTTTGAGCAGATCGCTGCGGCGGGAATGCAGAGAGAATCTGAGGGGGCTCCTGCCAGTTTGGGAAAATGATGGGCGGTCAGGGTGTTGGTGGTGAGGAGTGGCCCGTCCAGGACAGGGTGGACAGGTTGAGTCAAGAGGATCTGCTGAGGGACCAACTGGGGTACCTGGGGCGAGGAGAGGAGTCAAGGGTGACCCCAGGGCATTCGGCCGGAGCGGCTGAAACATGAATGGGGACGCTGGGGAGGAGAAGCAGGGTAGGAGGGGTGAAAATCGAGAGCTCAGCTTTGACAAGTCAGGCTGGAGCAGTCTATCCAACCTCCAAATGGAGGCTCACACACATAAGCCCTGGGTTCAGGGCCAGGGCTCAGTACGGGGGATACGAACATGGGCAGTGTCGGCACCCCGAGGACTTGACATCCCTGGGGCCTCCCAGGCCAACCAGGAAGTGAGCGTAGCCAGAGAAAACACAAGGCACAGAAACAAGAGAAGCATTTCTTTCTTTCTTTTTTTTTTTTTTTAAGATTTTATTTATTTATTTGACAGAGGGAGACAGAGCGAGAGAGGGAACACAAGCAGGGGGAGTAGAAGAGGGAGAAGCAGACTTCCTACAGAGCAGGGAGCCCGATGCGGGGCTCAATCCCAGGACCCTGGGATCATGACCTGAGCCGAAGGCAGGTGCCTAACGACTGAGCCACCCAGGTGCCCCGAGAAGCATTTCTAAGAGGAAATGCCCAACCGTCAAATACCGCCCAGAGGTGGGTGCGGTGGGGGTCAAAGGTGGGATTGGGAAGAGACGGTCACTGGTGATCTTAACCAGAGGCTTGGTGCAGGGAAGGAGGAGGTTGGTGAAAGTGGGGTCCAGAGAGTGTGGGTGTGGGCTGCCCCCCCTCCAGGAAGTTGTGCCAGAACCGGCAGCAGCGAGAAATGGGGGGTGGCTGGAAGAAGAGCAGGCCAGATCAGGAGGTTTATTTTAAGATGAGAGCTATTACAGTTTGTAGACTCCCGGGGAAGCTCGTTATTGGGGAAGATAATTAAGATGCAGAAGAGAGGAGACAGTTGCAAGAGCCGAGTGGGAGCTTGGACAGCACATCCCAGGGAGGGAGGCCGGGCACACCATGGGCACCGCAGGTTCTTGGGAGAAAGTGGAGTTCTCTTCTTTTTTTTTTTATTCTTTTAAAGATTTTATTTATTTGTTTGACAGAGAGAGACACAGCGAAAGAGGGAACACAAGCAGGAGGAGTGGGAGGGGGAGAAGCAGGCTTCCTGCAGAGCAGGGAGCCCAGTGCGGGGCTCGATCCCAGGACCCTGGGATCACGACCTGAGCCGAAGGCAGATGCTTAACGACTGTGTGACTCAGGTGCCCTGGGGTTCTCTTCTGACTGGTTCTCTTTTCTCAGTGAAAAAAGAAATAAGTCAGGGCTGTGAGGGAGGGGGCAGAAGGGGGCCTTGGTGTTTTGAGGAGAGGGGCAGAGAGGAGGAAGTCCCAAAAGCGGGAGAGTGAACGGGCCAGTGAAATGGGATTCGATTGCCAGCACAGGGGACCACCCAAGGTTTGTGGCGGCCAGTCTAGAGCGAGGCGGGCCATCCGATGTGTCGGTCTTCAGCCATGTTCAGCTGCATGGGTGCAGGTGCGCCATGGTGGCCGTGGACATAGACGGGCTGGAGAATGAGGTTCTCATGGGAGTCTCTGCAGGTCCAGGCTCCAGCTGGCTACCCCAAAGCCCCTGCAGTCCTCAAAGCCCTTTCGTGACTCCACATACTGTCCTTCCACAGCCATATCTGCTGGAGACTCAGAACAACCGGGTGAGCTCACAATGACGCCCACTTTAGAGAAGTGAAGGAACCTGGGGCACCAGGGGGAAAGGGGAGAGCTGGTATTTGAATTCACACGCCTGATCGGTGTTCTCCCTTCAGGGCAGCAGGGGCGTGCACGATTTAAGAAAGTCTTGCATCCCAGAGGGTGAAAATAAACAAGGTTGGCAGTTGGGGGATTAAACCTCAGGTGTTCCGTGCCTTGGGAGGCCCAGGTGTTGTCACGTTCAACTGTAGTGACTTGCTGCCACCCACTGGCCACTGGCGGTGTTGCACCCAGACCTACCGCGCAGGATTTGCTTAGCCGACCAGGGATTTACTGTCTGGGTCCAACAACGCCTTGTTGAAAGGATCAGGTAGGAGTTCTCACCCCGCCCCGCCCCGCCCCCCGCTTCCCCTCCCTTCCCCGCCCCCCTGCTTTGACAAATGAGAAAACGGAAATCAAGAGAGGTGACTTTAAAATTCCATCTGCACTTGCGGACTCTATTCTGCTCAGGTGTTCATTCATTGAGTAAGTATTCATGGAAGACAGCGTTTTAGGCCCTGGGATTCAGCAGGACGTAAGGCAGGAGACAGCATTGCTCTGGTAGAGCAGCCGTTTTGGGGGGGGGGCGGTGCAGAC